ACGTGATGTCACTCAACTCGGAATTTCCGAGTTCCGAGAGAAAAACGAACGCACCGTTACTTTTGCACCACATTTTCCTGAGATATTTGGTGCAAAAGTGAGAGCATGCAAGAGAACAATACTTGAGACTCGTAGCGGCAGATTCGAGCAGTTACAATTACTAGAAAAATGTCCAACAAAAAAATATAGTTGCGAGGAAATGTTCTACGTGTATGCAGCTCTCATTGTACGAATTCACGAACTAATATGCCAATGTGTCACTTTTGCCCATAAGTTCACATTTTTGAATTACGGGTGTGCGAATGTGTTTTGCACCATATTTTCTGTAGCAAGTGTAGCAAAACTGCGAGCGTCTGAGTTTCTTTAGTTTGTGATGCATGGAATAGGATTTGTGCACTTGTAATGAAAAATTTGAGAAGGCGTAACCGTTGTGTTGTGTTTGTGGAAATCCCGTGACTTCAAATTTACTGACACACATGTGTGACTTAATTAGTATTCTGTGCGGTATAAACGGTATACGACATAAATTATACCGCCCTACCGCAGAAATTTGAGCTGACTCCTTCGCTCCTGGATGACACATCCGGCGCATGAGAAATCTCGCTCACTTGCGGTGCTGGATGCCGGGATAACGAGAGTAGGTCTCGCAATATATATGAGCAATATTGGGAAACAAACGCTCATGCTCTCTCCACCAAAACAAGACGTCAAAAGAGTTGTTTTCATTCTCCCACACGTCAGACTTGATTTTAGTGGCGGTATTGGCCACAACTTTAAACTCTCCACTTGCTAGTTTTCTTTTCAACTCTTCAGCATCCATTTCGAACAGCTGCAGGAGATTGCATGCATTTTTTGAAAATTTTGTGTGTCATTAAAATATAGCCCTTTTGTATTTTTTGTTGGCACATAATGTTTTGAAAACCGCAATCTAGAATACGCTCTCCTGCGTACGACCCGACCCGAACCCATATCCGACACAGTAGAATATTTTTCACCCATTTCATCAAAATTTGCGGGTCACCCGCGGGTACCCGAACCCGTGCAGTACTCTGCCTGGCAGGACCTTTATGGGAGAGATAGTCATTCTAATATAGATGGAGTTATGACACTAGTCTAATTGTATCAGTTTTGTAGCTTTTGGTTCTGTGTCTTGTTTTTCGCTTACCTACAGTTTACAAAACCAACCTGTGTTTTTAATATAAGATAAAATCAGGGAAGTTACTTGAAATGTTTTCATATTTTTTCTATAACTGCAGATTTGCACAATAAATATTCTACGTTCCTGACTACTTTGAAATGTGTTAAGAGTTTATTATGCAACTTCCTGCTGCAATGCCTTTACTATGGACATATGTTACCCTTTCAAAAACAGTTATATTGAAATCTACAGATCAAATTATATAACGCAATATATACCGTCTATGGTTCAAATTTTACCGCAGCTTGAATTTTATGCCATATCGCACAGCCCTAGTGTGACTCTTTTCTACAGCTACAGATTGCACTGTTACAGATGCTCAGGTGTTTTGTACCAATAATACCTCCATAGTGTTCCCTTGCCGCGTGCCCTGCAATGGGATGACACCCTCTCCAGAGTGTACCCCAGCCGTGTGCCATGCGATGGGATCATACCCTCTCCAGGGTGTACCCCTGCCGTGTGCCATGCGATGAGATCATACCCTCTCCAGGGTGTACCCCTGCCATGTGCCAAGCGATGGGATCATACCCTCTCCAGGGTGTACCCCTGCCGTATGCCATGCGATGGGATCATACCCTTTCCTGGGTGTACCTCAGCCCTGAAAAACATGCACTTCTATGATCAGCCCCAAACCTGCCGTATGGTTCCTGTATGAGGGTTAGGGCCGCAGACTGGGATTCACCTTCAGTGCTGACCTTGATGCACTTTAGCAGGTCAAACTCTCCTGCTGCCGTTTCACCTCCGGGGAGCTGGGCGGGTGGGCAGTGCTGATCATTTTGGGCCCCTCTGCCACAGAGGGCCATGCCTTTAGCTCATGGGACAGGCTAACGGCTGCAGCTTTCAATGCCCCTGCCGTTGAGAGAATATGACGTAGTTTGGGGGGCATAATTTCAGGCAGCACATGATGCAGCTACAGTAATTTAGTACTAAAGGGTGTGGAAGGCAGCCTCACCTGAGAGCCTAACACTGACTGCAGGTGGCAGGTGGGGGCACTGTAATCTCCTGATGCCTTTCCATTGGGTCACAAATAAAACTGGGCCTCATCTCGTACCAGGTAACTGGAGCGTGAGGAAGGGGATGCTCCTTAATAATGTTAGTCATAAGCTTTATTATAATCATTTTTATACCTGACATTTATCATATAGCCTGTTCTTGTTTGTGTGTGGTGATGATGGCATGCAGATGACAGTGACAGCTTCCCCATTTCCATGCCCAAGTATTCTCTGCTTTCTCACACTTGACGGTTCACATGATGCGTGACATTTTCCGGATGAAACGGCACCATTTCAGCTCTGACACACTACCAGGCTGCTGTGTGCCCTGTTATGGGCTCATGTTCCGTGGCCACATCTGGGTCCATCTCGCGCGTGGCACTGACAAAAAGGCGATCCCCAAAGTAATGCTTCTCCTCCCCTTCTGTTCAGGAACAATGCGGCCCGTGCAGCGCAACTTCTACGAGCCGTCGTCGGCGCCGGGCAAGGGTGTGGTGTGGGAATGGGAGAATGACAACGGCACGTGGACACCCTATGACATGGAGATCTGCGTGACCATCCAAAACGCCTACGAGAAGCAGCACCCGTGGCTGGACCTAAGCTCTTTGGGCTTCTGCTACCTCATCGATTTCAACAGTATGGCACAGACCAACCGGCAGAGCCAGCGGCGGCGGCGGCTGCGCCGGCGGATGGACCTGGCCTACCCACTTACCGTGGGTTCCATCCCCAAGTCGCAGTCGTGGCCAGTGGGTGCCAGCTCTGGCCAGCCCTGCTCCTGCCAGCAGTGTATTCTGGTCCACAACACACGGGCCGCATCCAATGCCATACTAGCCTCGCAGCGCCGCAAGGTGTATTCGGGGGCAAACCCGCCCTCCAATGGCAACCAGACCTCCACCGTGCGCCAGAGCAACACGTTTGCCGGAGCCCCGCTGTGGTCCTCAGGCTCTGGCACGGTGAGTGGCACCAGCAGCAGTGAGAGGGTGGGAAGTGGCTCAGGCACTGCCCATAGCCCCGCCGACCTCCCAGCCGCCCACAGCCTCACCATCAACGGGCAGAACAACCTGAACCGACCTGGCACTCAACGCGTCTCCATGGGAACAGCCCGCGGAGCCATCCCACCAGGGTAGGTGTGCTTGTTGCAGAGCGAGTGAGTGAGTGCAGAACAGCAGGAAGTGGTATCTGTGGTCAGACCACCTGGTGTTTCCGTACCCTAGTAACAAGGCCCATGTGACCCAGCACCTTTTCCTCCCTGTTCCGCTCATCTCTCTCTCACTTTATGTCTTCTGCCTGTGATTTATTGCAGTACTCACTAACGGGGTGAGCAATGGCTTGACGGAGG